CATGATCTTAAATAAGCTGACTATGTTCCAAAACTTTTAGTGGGCTTGAATTATTCATTAAAAACTATTCTGCAAATGGAGAAATGGACAGAACTCCTACACAGTTATGTAAAAGGATAATTAACTGTTGCTGCAGGTTTTTGATGCAACAGGTGTGGAAATATCAGTTTTTAGATATCAGGGCAGCTACTTAATTAACCTTGGACCTGCTTGATTTGGATCATTATTCCTTTAATAAATTCAATGGAAAATGAAACTTTATGTTAATAGAATTTAGACAGAGTGTTTAAAGGGACTCCTCTTACAACACTTTATATCGACTTCTATCTTCACATATATTCTCAGAAAACAATATACTAAATGTGTCACATTTAGTAACCTCTGTAACTAGCAGATTTGAAATGTAATCCTAATTATTTGAGGAGATGAATGATGTTTTCTTAATAAGAAACTCTGATTTAATATATCTTTATTTAAAAGAAAATAGTATGAGCATACCTCACCTTAAAAAAATGCTCATCACTTCAGTAGGTTAAGTGCAGCAAAAAATAAATCCCCAAAAGAAAAAATTGAATGATAAAGGACTAGGGCAAGATTATTAAATTTGTCTCCAGTGACTGCAGACTGTCCCAGCTGTCTGAATCAGACACAATGCAACCATTCTTTTGATTTATAAGGTTGTAAAAAAAAGAAATGACCGTCCACTATGAAGAGCAACAGACTGTTACTGGAAGAACAAACTGGTCTTGTCATGCTATATTATAAACTGTTCTAATTACTTTACTCAAACAAATTTTTTGTGGTACTTTATATATTAAGTTGCAGTTATACAAACAGATGTCAACATGAATAATAATTTTTTAGGTATTTCTAAGTGTGATTTTTTTTCTCACAGTAACAAGGCTTATACTTATAAACCATATTTGTGACTCTTATCTATATACGCCATTGCCTATACAGCACCATCCTATAGTTGGTGGTTTACCCCTGATTCTTCTCAATTAATAAATAAAAAATGTTCTGCTTCTTTAGAGTACTTTTTTTTTTTTATATCCTAACTGTTTGCCTTTTATAACCCCACCCATCCTGACCACATGATTGTCACAAGGCACAGTTTCTCAAAAAAAAAAACTCTGACTTTCTCATCCTCTTAGTTTCTCATCACCAAGTTGTATTAATGTTTATCCCTCAGACAAATTCCTGCTGTCTTTTGAATCAGTCACAGATTGACCCCTTATGACCTAAACACAATCTCAAAACATCAAACTTGATTGTTTTGGCAATTGATAGCATCCAGATTAAAGAAATAAAAGAGTTTACAAAGATTTCTCTTCCATTTAAATCTTGAGCATGAAAAGTTTCCCCTGGGTATTAATTAGGAGGACTAGGACAGTCACATGCCTGTACTGTTGGAGGGTTTAATCAAGGTGGGTTATTTACAACAAACTCAACAGTTATTAGCATCCATGGTATGCGTATGCAAAATGGGGGCCACACTGGAGAGCGGTTTGTACCAGTTTTAAGTTGCACCAAGAAAGTTGAATTTTCAAATTCTTGCCTTAGGTCTTTCTGTATGAAGCAGGGTTCTCTCAAGGTGCTCGGCTTTGTCCCACACCAAAAATACAAAACAGTCAGGTTATTTACCCTCTCTAAAGTATGAGGGTAACTTGGTCAGTTGCTCTGTGTTTTGTGTTACCCCGTAAAAATGTGCTTCATAGTGTTTCATGAATCCCTGTCCTATAGTTTATGTCCTGTATGGAGATACTGGCTTGGCCATCTTTGCAGAATTGTTCTAATTCAGCCACATTTGAAGGTCCCAAGAATGACTTGCCATCTGAGGTCATACCACAGCATCTTATTGGTCAGAGACTGCTGACACACTTGTTTGGCTTAGGTTTTGTTAGGGATTTAAGGTATTCGAACTGAGCCTTAAGCCTCTTTCCCACTGAAAATAGCGACAATCGGCATTCGGCTACCCTACCATTGGCAATAAAAGCTGGGTCTAAACTTTCCCTCAATGGCAAGCTGCGTGGCCTCTGTGCCTCCGTTGCTGCATGTCTGTTGATGTCATCATGTAGGGTTAGCTTTGATGCTGTCACCAGTGCTACAGAATTCAGGAAAGTAAACAATGGAGATCAACATGTAAGAAAGCCAGGGTTAGTAAGTGTTCTTTATGGTTTTGTTCTTTTGTCCCTCCGAATCCCTTTCACCAGTGCTGCTCCATGTTAATCGAATATAAACAGAGTTGTTTCGGTCTGTTAAATCCGACTTGACTGGCACAGAGGGCTGACGTCTGAAGGTTGCATTCAATGGTATCAAATAATTTTGTGGATCTGGTGTTCCCACAGCATGCCGGTCAGAACCGAGGTGATTTTATCATGAGCTTGCCAAGTCATTTGACCCAGTTAGACATGCTTCAGTGAGCTATTCCCAACAGATTTTTAGGTCGGTGAGAAAGAAATATTAGACAAGTGCACTTCAAGGTCTTTTTTGTTGTTGTTTTTCTTCTGGCATTCAGGAGTGGACTTACTAGTGTGTTTTCATTCATTGTCCTACAACAGAATTCAGGTTAATTTCAGCTTGAAGTCATGAAAAGATGGCCAAACATTCTCTTTCAGGATTTTTTGGTGGACAACAGTATTTAAGCTTTCATTTATCACAGCGAGATTTCCAGGTTCTAAAGCAGCAAAACAGAAATAGACGTTAACCATGCCACCATCATTTTCTACTGTTGGTCTGACATTCTTTTCACAAAATGTAGTGTTACGTTTACATCAGAAGTACTGGCATTAACACGATCCCCAAAGTTTAACTTTTGTCCACAGACTAACTACTAGAAAGACTTGGGGATCAGGGAAAATTGAGACAAGTGTTCTTGTTCCTTTTGCTCAGAAGTGGTATACATCTTGAAACTCACAGTCGCACGCGGTTGTGTGTAATGCCTTTCATTGTGGTTCACTGGAGTCCTGAAGCTTTAGAAATAGTTTTCTAACCCATTCAAAACTGATGAACCTCAATGTCTTTTTTGTTTGGTTCTGAATTTTTTTAACTTGCCATAATGTCTAGCTTTTGAGAATCTTAAAGTGTACTTCGCTCTGTCAAGAAGGTCTTATGTAGGTAAGTTCTTGATTGATAACAGGTGTGGCAATATTCAGGCCTTAGTGTGGTTGAAGAAAGTGAACTCATGGTTATGTTTTAAGGGGAAAATCATGTTTTCACGTAGGTCCATGTAGGGATGATTTCTTTATTATTATTATTCTGCTAGTGTTATTTTTTTAACAGTCCAAATACATTCATATGTGCACTGAATACCTTTCTTTCTTTGCATGTCAGTTTGCATCTCACTTAAAGAAATGCAGATGTGGAAAAGTACTTGGCAGGTTGTAAATATTTACATTTGCATATCCTCCACCCAATGATTTGCGCAGTTTGGTCATCATAATATGATCGACATTTTGATGAAAGCAAACACTCATGCTGTCTGCTGAATTGCAAATGAAAAACTATTTACACCTTTTTTGAAGATAGGCTGTGCATAAAAACAAGTTTGCCCCTTTTTTAAGATGCACAAATCTTTTGAGTATCAGTCCCACAGTTTTTAGTCATATGTCAGAAGGCTCATTTTAATCTGTTCCAACCAGAGCACCCTTTCCCAAATATCTGCTGTGTGTGGTTCCTAGGAAACTGCAAACAGGCCTTAAAACTCTCTTTTCCAACAATTGCTTCATAATTGCTACTCTTCTCTAAAGGTTGTAGTCTACCTTATGAGTGTATATCTAAAATGTATCCTGTAAACAGATTATCAGACTTCAGCTGTATATCTCTATAGATCTTTCTAGCGGTCCATCAAGTTTTAGATGTATGGTACACCATTAGATGTTCAAAAAAAGTTCTTCACAACCTTATTCCTGATCTGTCTTCTTGTTCCTTGTGCTGTAACAAAGCTCTGAGGTCTTAACAGAACAGATGTTTCTATACCAAGATTAAATTACTTACAGGAAGACTCTATTTACTCGTTAGATGATTTCTGTCATGCAGTTTTACTTTAGATTGATGATAATGCTCTGCTTTGTCTTGTTCTGTCTGTTAAAATACAATTCAATTTTCTTGTTATAACTTCACTAACTGAAAAAAAAGGAAAGAGTTATCAGTAATGTTAAAGATAAGTACATTTATTTGTTGTTTTTGTTATTGTTTTTTCTCCACTCAATGAATGTATTCCAAATAAGGGTCTGTATTTTTTTACTCAAAAAACAAGTGTGGAGCACTGCATATTTAGTGTTTTTTTTTTTTTTTTTACTTTTGATAGGGAGCTTCAAAAGTGCTCCAAACAAACCGAAATTTGTGTCTTGTGAGGTTTAGTTCTTAGAAAAAAAACTTGTTGGTGAACTGGCAGACCTGTTGGGTCAGTGCGAGTTTATACACTAATTAGAGAGGAATCCTGTCATCCCACCACACAGAGGCCAAGTTAATTGAGAACTAATTTAATTGCATACTTCATGGCCAAAGTTTCTTTTTGCTTCAGTGGCTACATTGTACACAATGGACCCCCACCCCTTTTTTTTTTTTTTTAGATACGACCATTCTGGGAATTATTTTGATGCATATTCAATGTAAAACAAGACATTTTGACAAAAACTCACCCAAAAAACACATTCACTACACCATCAAAATTTGCATAAATTGTTTTATTCAGTTATCGTCCTTTTTATATTTGTATCTCACTGTTTTTTGTTTTGTTTTTATATATTTTGTTGAAGTGGACATCCTGTAAAGCCCTTGGCTGAGTTGTTCTCTGAGCTGTAAAGACAGAGGGAAGAGCAGAGAGGGTTCTTCCGCTTCTGTCTCTTTATGTCACTAACAGTATCCCAACTCAACCTTTATTTTCATTTCTTTGAACAAAGAGTGTACCTTACAGTATATTTACACATCATAGCGACTGACAATTTCCACTTAGATAACGAAAGGAAGATTGAACTTTCAATATTTGCTTAATGATGTTTTCTTGTAAATTCTTGTTCTTTGATCCACTTTTTCCTCACACAATGACATTAAAGAAATAGTTTTGTTGTCATTCCATCATTGTAATCTTCTTTGTCAACATAACATTTTTTCTCAGTGTTTTTATATTCATAAAATTCTTTTTCAATAGATTTCTCTCTGAGAACTGTACAATCGTACACAGTGTTTGACTTTTATATATATTTTTTGGGAATATATTATTTAAACTGGAGAAAAGAAAAACATAATCCCAAAGAAAATATATATTAATATCCCAAAGTAACAAAATCATGCATGTTTTAATGTATTTTCCATAAAAACAAAAATGGAAAAAAAATGCATGGGATCTGGTTTTATTTACAAACTGATGTTGGCACGGTTTTTTGTTGTCGCTCACTGGACTCTTGGAACGGTTATAAATACTTTTACTCTCATCTGAGTGTAACATACCTTAGGTATTTTTAATCAGAGGCCTGCTATTAAGAGCAGGTCTGAGAGAGTTTTTTTTTTTATTTCTTTTAAAAGCACAAAACGATTAAAGAAAAATGAGGAGAACAAAAGAACAACATTGGAGGGTCAACCAGAGGAAAGATCAGTAATACAGTGCCCTGCAAATGGAATTTTACCACCTGAATTTCAATGTTTTATTTCACTTACAGTAAGTTCATTTGATAAGCCAGAACAAACTAGTGCATCATTTGGAAGCAAATTTCCCCAAGACATTAAATGGACAAAAATCTGAAAGATCTGGATTGAATTTATATTTATCCCCTTATTCTGACAACATAAAATAAAATTAGGCAATCAACTGCCTTCAGAAGTCCTTTTAACCTAATGCTAAATTATTATTAGTATTTGGTCTTTTGTCACTTCAAGCTAATATCAGAGATTCAATATCTTACCAACTCCATAATGCAAAATTCCTAACGCTAACCCTTGTTGCAGGCTGAGTGTCTATCTTTTAAATTTCAGCCTGTGCTACAGATTCTTAATAAGATTTAGCTCTGGACTTTGACTGGGCCTCGGGCCTCTATCTGTAGTCCTCCAGATGTTTTGCACCCTCTAACAAGTGTGCTTTCAGTATGGCTCTGTATTTTATTAATTTTCTGTTTCAGTTTTAAAAAAAGATTTCTGCAAAATCCACTATGTGCTGTGGTTTTGGTAACTTTGCAGCTGTTCCAACATTTTGCATTTTAAGGAGGAGACAGCTTAACACCATAAGAAGTGTAAAGTTGTGGAAATTTGGTCTCTATCTACTATTTAAACATCCCCACAGGATTACCTTTGACCAGTCAAATTTGTTCCTTGGTCTTCAAGGTGCTGTTCCCTAATGTTCTTTAAGCTGCTGGTTATACTGTTATTAATGTTTCTCTTTTGTCATGTCTGGGTAAGCCTTAAAAAGTTGTTAGACTTCAGTGGAACCTCAAATGTTTTCAAATCATCAAAGTACATGTCGGTTTTGATGCTGGAGTACATTTAATTTTATCATAAACTTTATGTATATATACTATTGTGGTATATATACATATATACTATTATATACTTATTAAAGGAGGCATAAAATAAAAGGGGGATAAACATAAATGCACAACAAATATTGTTTTAATTAAATGGAAAACTATTTCTTATTTTTATTCCACTCTTCAATAATGCACTACTTTGTGCTGATCCATTACATAAAACCTAATGACCAATTAAACTTTGTGTTTGTAGCGTAACAAAAGACTGAAGTTTTCAGGGGGGCTATGTGTTTACAAGGCACTGCTGTGCTGAAAAAGTTAGAATTAAAATTTTCAGGTTGTGGCAGTTTCCTTTTTTTTGGCAGCAACCCTTTTGACATCATATCTACAGACTTTTTCCCCCCTCAGAAGCAGAGGCTTACTTTGCACCTAATTAGGTGCGCTTGCTGTTTCCTAACAAATAGGTGAAGACCCATCCTCCCACCCCTAAACAAACAGCATCGATTTGTCAAGATTTTTTTTTATCTCAAAGCAGCATCAATTGACTCAGGCAAATAAAGAAAGGGGGGGAAAAACAGCCAGTTAAGTGGAGGATCTCACTCTTAGGTTTGACAAGGGTAGTCATCTTGAAGTTTCCAGTGTCGCTCTGTCAAAAGAGAGTTGACCCAAATACCTTTTGTGTGAACAAACCATAAAGATGTACGTGTGTGTGTGTGTGTTTATGTGTGGTGTCTCTGCATACTTATATTCAGTGCAAACACATAGGGTAAAAACTCCCACCCTGCCCATGGCCTGGCAGCTCTTTTGAATCTACTGTATAGTCCAAACCGACTTTCTTAATACAGGTTTTTATCTTCAGTTCTCTGCTGCCCTTCCTGAAAGTAGACATACTAATATAGTGCGCTCTTTTGGGCGCTGAGCTGCCTGCATTTCACCTGCCGGCCAAACCCACCCAACCCCGCCTCCCACCTAGTGACAGGTCCTAGCATAGCCCAATATACTTAAGATTGTTCTGGATGATCACGTCCGTGACAGCATCAAACACAAATTGGATGTTGCTGGTATCGGTGGCACAGGTGAAGTGCGAGTAGATCTCCTTGGTCTCTTTGTTGCGGTTCAGATCCTCGAACTGCCGCTGCACATAGACGGCTGCCTCCTCATAGGTGTTCTGCCCTTTGTAGTCTGGGAAGCACACTGTCAAGGGAATGCGTTTTATCTTCTCAGCCAGCAAGTCCTTCTTGTTAAGGAAGAGGATGAGTGACGTGTTGGTGAACCAGTTGTTGTTGCAGATGGAGTCAAACAGACGCAAGCTCTCGGCCATGCGGCTCTGTGGGGGCATGGAAACAGATAACATTAAGAAAAGGGAACTGTTTTGATAACAAATGCAAGTTTCTGTTTCAACAAAGATACTTTATCATCTTCAGCGTGATTTGACATTCAGGTTAAAAAAAAATCAGAGACAAAAGCTTTCAACTAGGTGCTGAAAACAAAAAGAAAACAGCCTCGCACGTCAGAGACGTTCGCTTGGCCAACCAAACGTACAAATCATCTGTTGTGTCAACAGAGATTTAAAACTCAGATAGACCAAGGCCTCGGTTTGAACCCTCATTCTCTTCTATGAAACAGGCAATTATATCTTTAACCCCTCTCTACATGTCCGGTATTGTGAAATAAATGGCTAAAGAGGACGTGTTATTTACTATTTTTACAACTGATGGATAAGATAACCTGAGTGAAAATGTGTGAACGGTATATAAAAAGAGTAATGCTCACTTTCTTGGCCTGCATGCATCTGTTTATGAACATCTAAGTTAATTTGCACATTATCATAAGAACTGGCAATATTGTTTGTTATCTTAAGCTTAAAAATGTGTTTTACCCAAATTCAACTAACTGCAGCTTATTGTTGCAACAATAAACTATTTTGGAAAACTAAAAATGTCGTTGAGAGGAGAAAACTGAAAATCAATCCACATACACTTTTGTAAATAAATGTCATTGAGAGACTGTGATTGGTTATTGTTTATGCTATGTTTTGCTAATAAGATAGAATGTCACATTTCTTTATGTGTTTGTTTGAACTGAAAAATGGCCCAGATTGGTCAAATACACATATAGCTGTAAAGTCTGTTGCTGTTCCAGTATGTGGAGGGATGCAAAATTTAAAAAATCTAAATACTTTAAAGTAGTAGTTTTTGTTCTGTTGTTTTGTTTTATTTTCTCTTTTTCTTTTTTATAGGCTGAGACCCAGTTAGATGCCGCATCATTGTGTCACTACAAAACCTCAGTAATATTAGATCCTCCCTCTGTGGTATTCGACATTTTTGTGGAGGATCACGATGCCAGGAGAGAATGTGTTGAATGTGTTTTTTAACTGCACAAATCACAAAGCTTTTTTTTCACTATACTTGGAGACAGATCCCCAATAACCAAGACCGTTTATTTATGATGTTTTAAACAAATGATGAAGGCTTCCCAGTCCTAATGGCTGATTCCTGAATGTTACCAGAAAAATTACCGACCACAGTTACATAAAGCATTCAAGCAGGATTTAATAACACTATTTGGTATGATTTTTAAATTCACTAGCATCATTTCTATGTTCATTGTACATTTTGTATTCCCATCGAGTTTATGTATTTTCCTTGTGTTTTTGCCTATCGGCCACCGAAAAAAACAATAACAGAAAAAATGAGAACATTACTATAGTGGCCAGGGTGCAAAAATCAGAACAGCACAGTAAATATTTAGTTCTTTCTAAAGAAACTTATCTGAATCTGATCTTTATTTATCTCTGGAAAGGAAAGGAAATGACCTACATATAAACAGCCAAGAATAACCTTGTCTTTGGTGGATTCACTGGTATGTAAACTTAAACGTACATAAATCAAAATGGTTTATGTCATTGGATGGTCCAGTTCCCCCATTTTCTCTGATTTTCTAAAGCACCCTAAAAGAGAGCTATAGATTACCATTAGTTACTCAGTAGGAATATCATGGATGGACTGACGGCTGATGAATGGGTGTTGGTCATTGATACATGACCACGTGTCTCTCATTTGATTCCAGTGTATTCATCAAAATATCACACATGATAATAAAATTTCCAAATCTAACTTAGAGTATTTTAACCCTGTAAACGGGAGTTCATATTTGTGTACCCCCTTTGGCCTCAGCATACCCTCACTCATGTGATATAATGTATAAGAGAAAGTAGATGAATAGAAAGTTGATCTGTTCATGCCAGCTGCCGGCATGTGGCTACTAGCCAGAAGCTTGTGACTGGGAAGATGTCAGAGCGAGAGCTGCTGTTGGAAAGGTTACAGAAGCAAAGCGCTCTAAGCAAATCACAAGATCTGTACTTCTTAAAACAAAAAAAAAAGAAAAAGAGATGGTGATTATTCAATGGTTTATGAGGTATATCTTGTACTGGTGGAACAAGCTGCAGTTATGAGAAAACAGAAGGAATTGAAACCTATGGACATTTCTAAGATACCTCGGCAACTTTTTTCCCACCCAGGTGCAAAAAACAGACTCTTAATCTTAAGTGAACCCCGTTTGTTTGTTAAAACTGGTATTCAAATTTACAATCCAGCAAATCTAAAGAAGGAAGCGATGTCTCCTTTGCTTATTAATTCATGATTTATTAATGAACTTTGTCATATGAAACTTTAAATCTTCATTGTCTGTCTTTGTAGTCCATCTCTGTTCTTTTGTGTATAGTTTTTTTGGTTCCTGTCTAAAGAGCACCAGATGAATAGCTCACTACCTTTCCAGGTGTGAAAGTACTCCTTGTGAACCTCCTATCAGCAACAACAGCAAAAATAATAATGCAAAAAGTTGCACTTTTGTAAAGCATGACTTATTTTCAGTAGCTGCTCTAACATTGCTTTTTTTTTAGATGTATTCTGGGCAAAGTTCTGCAAAATAGTGTTTGTGCAAAAGCTGCTCTGCATTTTCGACATTGAAACGTCAAAACTTCTTCCTTCCTCTATTTTTCTCTCACAAAAGGTTATCCAATCAGGCTAGAAGACAAACCGCATCAGTGTGTAATCCCGAGGGGTTACTCTAGGCCCTAAACATTGTATACAACACAAAATGCTGTTGGGCTGTTTGACCTCGCTCTTCCTTTTTCCTGGGTGTCAAAACATGACTGCAACTGCTGTGAGAGTATAGCAGGAGACAGCCAGCTGAGCCCAGGGAGGCTCTCGTCTCTTTAGCTGGCCACTTCACACTTGTGAAGAAAGATTTCTTAATGGGGAGAGTAAGTTAAGGTTTGACTGGGGGAACAGGAGTTGTAACACATGCAGCTGCTCCTTTCTTTGCGTTAAACTCCAACTGATTTGAAGGTTTGCTCGTGCAAACACACATGCAAACCTCCTGCATTGGACTCAAGAGAATGAAAAGCTTTAATCAAGCCTAAGTATTAATAAGACATTTCATCACATTGCTTAGATTTCATGCATACATATAATGTTTCGCCATACCTGCGTGTTTCGTGGAAGTTCATTCTAAAATGCTACTACCTCAGGAGATAAAGCCTCTTTGTACTGAGCAGAAAACTCATTGTAGATGACAGCTACTGGTACATTATTTAGGACTCACCATCTTTGTCCAGCCTTTTTTTAGATTAGTAATGCTTTAACATCCAGCTGCCACATGGCGTTATCTACTGTAAAGCTGAATATACCCGCGTCCTGAAATCAGAAGTATTCTTCAGAAACTATTCATTAAATCTAATCTTTTTTGTTTGACATTTGCACATTTATGGTTTTACTCAGACTTAGAAAGAATAATAATGTGAGCTATGCATGGCCCTTATCTTGATTTGGTATTGCATAAGAAGACGGTTATGACCTATCCTCTAAAGGACAAATGTAAACCAATAAAAGATTATGGAGGATGACAGACAAAATGAGATAGCCTTTCTGGGAGAAACAAGTGATATGTAACCTGCAAAGCGGTTTTAGCTGATTCATATAAGATAAACCTTTATCAATATTTTAAGCTTTTGAATAACTGAAAAAAAAAAACTTCTTTATTTTGTAGACTCATTCATGTGCCTATTTAAAAAGATTTACGCTGGTCAATGTCATTTAATTATGTTACAAAACATGATTGTATTCTCTAAAGTAGGTATGTGTGAAGATGGCTTCATTTTATTTAGTCAGGACTGAAAAAAACACATTAGTTTGACCTAGAAAATAAATAAATATATAAAAACACTTAAATATCTTTTTCTTATTTGAGAAGAATAAAGAGAATTTTTCCAAAATGATGCTGCAGTCAGAGGTGATATGTGCTAAACAGAAATAAGAACTAAACACAAACATTTGCTGCTTTATTTTCATAACCCAGACACGCCCTCTAATGCGGTTTTGCAGACTCAACTGTTGCATGTAAACCTCTGCTGCACATTCATCACAACACACCCATTAAACACTTTCACAGATGCATGCACATGCAGTTCTTATCCACTTTTTTCCCTTTACTCGTCGCAGCTCACCGTCAACAGCGCTAGGATTAGGAGCATTTGACTGGCCTGTTTCTTAGCAACAGTAACCATGACATCCGATTCATTATAAAGACAGGGATGGGACAGGGAAAATGCATCAGGGAATGAGCTGATGGGCAAATGTACTATAATTATTATGGAGCGTTTTCTTTCTTGTGTGACTTTGTGCATTTGAACTAAACTGGTTTTGTTTTAAGAGCGATGGACGCTGTTTTCTTTTGGTGTCTCTATGCGTCTCTATGTCTCCAGATATGAAGAATGGGGTCATTAAAAATGATCACTGGACAACAAAAGGCAATGATGTGAAATGACAAAAGGGTTTTTCCATCGAAAATGTTTCACTGTCACACCATATTCAAAGGGTTATTTAAACTTTAGATTTTAATTCTCAACAAGCTATTTAATCAAATACATAGATATTTACAAAGCAATCATACATTTGTTTTAAACATTTTTTTAATCATTTACTCTAATTGTACAAATTAATTTGTACTTATGACAGGTAATTTAGAATTGACTTTTTGAACTGGACTTAAAATGTCAGAAATTGAATGTTACTTTACGCTAAAAGAAAAAACTAAAACAAAGTAAGATGTTCATGTAATTTTGAAAAATAGAGCAAGCAAACCATAATAAAAAAAACATGTTACCAAGCTAGAAAAATACAAATCTACTTACTCAATACGTACCATCACCTCATAATAACAACAAAATGATTACTTTGTATAATTAAAATATAAAAAGTATGAATGTGAACGTTAGTAGAAAAGGATGTAGCTTTGTGATACCTGTTTGTCAAAGTTAAGCTTCGA